AAAAATCTGATTTGAAATTCAGTAAAAAAGTACCACAAAAAGAATATAATTGCCAGTTAAGGATTCTTAAAATTAGAAAGGTGAAAATTTAGGGTTGCAATGCATCAAACTCGCATTTAAAAAAAAGATAATTGATTCAATACATAAAAAATAAATGTTAGAGTTGGATACGCAGTTGCTTGACGAAATTAAATTATTAATCTAAAATTGATCTTTATCATAATACAAAAAACTGAAAATAAATCACAATTAAAATAAAAATGCGTCGAGTTCTAACTTTTTCGTTAAATTCAACGTAAACGAAGCCAAGGGTAAAAAATGCTGCTCACTAACTTTAGCTCAAAAATCGTTAAACAATAGACAAAATATTTGTAGAATCAAACAATGGAATATTTTTAATATTATCCCAATGTGTGTAGAAGTACCCTTAGCCAAAATCATCTCCTAAAACCACATCAATCTACCTGACATCGCTTGTTTAACTTCACCCATCTACCCAACAACCCACAACCCACAACCCACGCAAGGTCTCTGAGTATGGGAATTCCCCCAATTCTTATTCTTGATACAACTCAACTGATTTTAAGATTTACCCCAGACGATGAAGATGAGATTACGTGGAAAAATATGCTCTCGACGAGGTAATTATAAAAAATGCGGGTTAAGCAGTTAATTCTTCAAACTTGTTGAGAGGGTTCGTTTTTTGTGTGCTGATTGAATGAAATATTAAGAAATCGAGATAATGATTTGAAGCTTTATATAAATATTTGATATTTGATACGGGATCAATATTTATACAATTTTGTATTTTAACTCTAAATCGATATTTTCAGACCACTTCCTATAAAATATTTCAATCCATTTTCAAATTCGCAATATTCGCGCACGTAAAAATTGTTACGTAATACAACTAGCGTTTTTCACAACGTCGTCTATCGAAGAGTTCATGAATGCAAAAAATCAAAAAAGAAACGATAGAAAAATAACAGAAAAACGTAGAACAACCCGAACGGCATTTTTCACAGATTCTAAAATAGTATTTTTATTATGACAATATTATTAACATCCCTTAGGGTCAGTTATTGTAATCGTCCAAAAATCGAAAATGAAAATTTTTGCGTATCTTTAGGTTTCAGAGTAAAAAATGCCAAGAATGGTATTTCAGTTTTTGATAGAACGGGGCCTCCGATTTGAATGATTCAAAAAACATTTTATTTGTATTGAGGGAATGAAAATCTGATGAATAAGTGAGATGTGTTCAAAAATTATCTTTATCTAATTATATTAATTATAATTAAAAAAAAAATAAGAATTGAAAAAAAGTCTATATATTTTCATTTATTCAAAAATTCAAAAATAAAATTTATTTTGTCCTTTCTAAGCTTTTATAATTTTTTTAAGTCTTTAAAAATTATCAAAATTTTCAAGAAAAATTATAATATAAAAAGTCGATATTTTTTCTTTTTTTTAATTAGAAAAAATTAATTTGTCCTTTCTAAGCTTTTAGAAATTTTTTAAGTATTCAAAAATTATAAAAATTTTCAAGAAGATCATAATATAAAAAAAACTAGATAAATTTTCATTTTTTCAAAAATTCAAAAATTTTCAAGAAAATCTTAATTAAAAAGAGTTGATATTTTTTATTTTTTTAAAAAATTCAAAAAAAAAATCTTATTTGTCCTTACTAAGCTTTTAGAAATTCTTTAAGCCTTCAAAAATTATCAAAATTTTCAAGAAAATCATAATATAAAAAGTCGATATTTTTTCATTTGTTTAAGATTTCAAATAAAATCTAATTTGTCAATTTCAAAGCTTTTAAATTTTATTAAGTTTTTTAAAATTATCAAAATTTTCAAGAAAATCTTAATATAAAAAGAGTCGATATTTTTTATTTTTTTAAAAAATTCAAAAAAAAATTGTCCTTACTTAAGTTTTTTAAAATTATAATTAACTTGTCCTTACTAAGCTTCTAGAAAATTTTTAAGTTTTCAAAAATTATAGGAAAATTAAAAAAAATCATAATTTTGTCAAAAATTCAAAAAAAAACTAATTTGTACTTACGAAGTTTTCAAAAATTATCAAAATTTCCATAAAAAAATCATGATTTTGAGAAAAAAGTCGATATTTTTTAATTTTTTTTCAAAATTCGAAATGTTCATAAAGAATCTAATTTTTGCTCTCTAAGCTGGAAAATTTTTAATTACGATTCGGAAAGTTCCAGCAATTTGCCTTAAGGCCCCATACACCATTAGTTGATTTATTTTTGCAATTAATATTGCAAATATTGAGTTTTTTTACTTTTTGCCAAAAGTTATTCTTATTTGTAAAAATATTTGTTAAATTGGAAAATGGGAGGCAAAAATTCAGGAATGTATTTATGTTATAAAAAAACCGTCCAGAAATTAAAGCAAAAACATTAAGGCTGAACAACCCTTACCACTTAGGTGTATGAAAAATAGATAATAGCCGATTCTCAGACCAGAATTTTCAAAACAAAAATAATAATTTATAGAAGAAAGTCGATATTTTTTCAATTTTATCAAGAACTCGAAATTCTAAAAAAAAAATCTATTTTTTTCTCTTTAAGCCTATAGAAATTTTAAATTCGGGAAGTTGCAGTAATTTGCCTTAAGGCTCCATGGGTCACTAGTTTTAAAATATTTTTCACAGAAAAAATGATACATGAAAGTTATTTTGGCAACTGAAAAACTTTTTACCTAAAAAATATCGCCAATTTTCTTTTTAGCGTAATAAACCAGTCAAAATCAGCACAAAAGCACCTAAATTTAAAAATACATATATTTTATATTACAAAAGCATGATATATAATATTAAATTGTTGAGAAGAATCATCAATAACTATATATTTCTATTATTATTTTGAGAATCTTTTTCCCTGTATGTTTGTGATATTAAAAATTCTCTATGTATGCATTGTTCGATGGAGGGTGAATTGACTGACTCCACTTTCCCGACGTTTCGAGAAAAAGTTTGAAAAAAAAGAAACTACAGCTAGAGATCGGAAATAAAATAAGCAGAAAAAAAATCGCTAAATGCTTGTATTTAAAACAGTTTCCGATGCTGATGACTGCGCGATATTTCCTTGATGGCTAATTAAGAGAATATTAGTTGGCACTAATTGGCAGAAAGAAAAAATGAAATATGTATATATTTATATATATATATATATATATATATATGTAAATAACTCCTCCTAAACGATTATTAGGATTTTGATAAATTTTTCTAAAGTTTGTTAAGAGAACTTTTTTATGTATGTGATTTTAAAAATATAAAAAATTGTAGAAACAAATGAAAAAATTTCCAAAAAACGACATGTCATTGTTTGGTATTGAAAATATTTGAGACATTGTTTGGCATTGAAAACAAATGAAAATTGTCATCTACAGAAAATTTCAATTTACTTATGAGCCTAGACAATATTAGAATATATATAATAAATTCATGATTATGAATAAGAAAAATGAAATGTCTACATTATTATTTCCAAAAAGCAGCTGCGATGTGCCAGAAATTAAAATAATATAAGATACAGTATAAGTATGGCAGATTGAATGATACATGTATGAACAGGATTTGACAAATTAATTAACCTAAAATGTGAAATTAGGTAATATCACCTTAAATGGCCTTAGGGAGCGCCAACACAAGAATTGAATGAAATTTTCAAAGTAGTTTTTTTTTTCAATATCATTCAAGAAAAATATAATTATAATATAATTATAATTTCAAGCAGAATATTTTTAAAATACGTTAAAAATTTCACTTTAAAACAACAAATGGTTAAGTAAAGATGACTACATACAATTCGGCCCTTACGATATCAATTAGGAAAAGTTTAAGATGCAAGTTTGAATATCTTAAATAATAAAAAATCAACTTAAAATAATCCAACATAAAGTACCAGTGTTACCTTTAATAATGAGAGGCTAAAATTTGTTGCTCTCTGTGATTTGCTCAATACAATAAATCACATAAAATAGTCAAAATAAATAAATAAAATGTTTCAAAAACTAAATTTAATTAATGAAAATAATTTTAATAATAAACTGTTAAAACAGGTAAAATAATAGGGAAGGGGGGCTAGAAAAAAATTGCATGTGGGCGCTAGGACCCCAGGAGCATCCCTGGTAATAATGTAAATTAAATTATTACTAAGAAAAATGAAATTTAGTTAATATAATTACTAAAATATGATACGAGATTATAAAAATTACAGGCAATTTTATTGAAAATTTTAAGATGCATTGTGAACGCACCCTGGTATATTACAAATGACATCCTACATAAAGACTTAAAAATAAAAACTATTAATGAAATGATAAAAAAGGAGCAAAAAATACCACGAAAAACTGCCAGGTCACCCAAACATATATTTAAAAAAATTAAGCGAGGAATATCCCACTCGAAGATTGAAAAAAAAGTGGCCATACGATCTTAAATAAAATGTCAGAGAAATAAAAAAAAGAGATCACATAGGAAATAATCTCTTAAATGCCTTTACACCCAGCATATTGTCTTTAAAAATGTATATTATTTTAATTGGCAATAAAACTATGCAAATAAAAACTTTATTGAAGGAATTATTTTGGTTGGAAAAATCCAAGGTGATATTGTACTTTTACCGCGGGTACTATATATTAATTTTTTCTGAATTTGTTATACCGTTTAAAAGACTTCAATTACCAATAGTTGTGGGAATTGAGACTCATCATTTTATTTAAAGCAGTTAGAACATTTAACAAAGCTCATATTGGTGTGTATGCATTTAGGTGTAAAGATTAATTTAAAAAACAATTATTATTGTTAGGTAAACGGTAAATATTAATATAGGACCACGTCGGCCAGTCATCTAGTATATATAAATATATATATATATATATATATATATATATATATATATATACATATATATATATATACGTGTATATATATATATATATGTATATATGTATATTTATGTGTATATTACTTCTTACCTTCTTTCAGCCTCATGACAACCGTCGGGTCTCCCAAGGCGCTGGTAAAATATCCGCCTCCTGTTCCTGCCCGTCCATGTTCAGGAGCATCATCGTCCCAAAACAATTCATCCTGAACAGCCTGCAATTCCCTGGCCCATCTCAACCAGGACCGGTCTAAAGTGGCCTCATACAAATCCAGCAAAGCCCGAACCATGAACGCGTAGTCGTCCAGGAAACCATTTATAGGATTAGCACTGCAGGAAAAAGATACATTAAGCATTTCTGGAGTTTTGGAGAAAAATGTCTATTTCTACTTACAGTTGTTCTACGCTCCCATCAGCGTTCCTGGTAGCATAACAAGCCCTTAAAAGTCCACCTTGAGCCCCGTCAGCGCCAGTACGAATATACAAGTACTTCTTGACAAACTCTGCGCACAAAATAGCCTTCAGAAGGAAACCTTCAGCTTCAGTTTCAGCTTTTTTAGATGCTGATTCTTTATTAGGTGATCCCCCATCGTTGTTGGTTGGAGCCATTCCTGAAAGTGCCTCAAAAGCTTTGGCACAAGCCGATATCATCAACGCATTCCACGAACAGACCATTTTTGCATCCAAACTAGGCTTCGGTCGTTGTAGACGTTTTGTACGGAGGATAGACAAACATGTTGATAACAACTACAAAAAAAATAGTAGTATGAAATATATATTACAAACTAGGAACCCTACGAACCCCAGACCTTCATATATTAGGTTGTCAAATATCTCCCTTCCGCTTTTTTGCTCTTGGAATATAATACAAAAAGGCGGAAGGGAGATATTTGACAACCTATTACTATCAATTCTTCGATATATTCTGGGAAATTATAACTGGGAAAATGTTATTCAACCAAATTTCCATTTGATCGATACCAAATTTAGGTTCTAAATTTAAATAACATAAATAAAACAAAATATAACATAGAAAATGTTTTATAAATACCATTGAGTATATAATTATACAAATGAGATATTTCAGAGCACCGTGTTTGAGAAAAATATGCCAAAAAGTGCATTTTCATATTTCATTTCAAAAAAGTTGATATTGTTGAGTTTGTAGTAACACTTGCGGCCCTATTACTTGATTTCACTGAATTGCAAATTTATAGCTGTTTTTGTAAAAAACATGTGTGATTTTATATTTTTATAATTTAGTACACATATTAAGAAATAACATACTAAAATTTTGTAACTCTAGTATAACGTTTTATATTTTCAAATATTTTTCAAAATACTCATCAAACCGTGGACTTGCAACTATTGGAGACTAGATATACAAGAGTGCATTTGTTTAAAAAGTTGCGAATTTATAGCTTTTTTTGTTAGAAACATATGTGATTTTATATTTTTATAATTGAGTACAAATATTAGGTAAAAACATACTAAAAGTTTATAGCTCTAGTATAATATTGTATATTTTTAAAACATTTTTCAAAAGTACTTCTCATATCATATCCAACCGTCGATTCGCAACTAAAAAAAATAGAGTATGCAAGTGTGCATTGCAATTTTTTAGTTTCTTCTGTTAGAAACATATCTGATTTTATATTTTTATAATTCAGTACACATATTACGAAATAACATACTATAATTTCATAATTGTATCACAACGCTTTATATTTTAAAATATATTTTAAGCCGCCAACTTGTCTACGTCGAAACGTTTACTAACGTTTTATATATATAACAAAACTACTTACTACAATTTAATCATAATTAAATAATATTCACGTAAAACATCCTATTAAATGTAATTGAACATCATCTGTCAAAAACCTTTGACATTTGACGTATTAGCAACCGTCCATTGTTTTATTTAAATTACGCTTCTACAAAAAATTCAAATTAAAAATGTAAAGTTTCTACGCGATTTTGAAATAATATCTCACCTCTCCGACAACCTACTGATTAGCACCAATTTTTCAAGACTAAGACTGGCCAAATCGGTTCAGCCGTTTTCGAGTTTTAGCGGATCATTTTATCGAGAGCTCCATTTTTATATATAAGAAGAAGATATGTGTCAATTATCTTACTTTTTCGGTTTCCGTCACGCTCAATGCGAATTTTTCAGCAGTGGCTTCCAAACTTCCATTAACAATGAGTACATTTTTGTCCATGAGTTCGCCATGAGGATCTTGTGCAGGAGCCACGTTTCCAGATTCTCGAACATCGAAATGGTGACAAAATACGTCGAAAAATGGTACGCCACTGGCATGATTGCGGTTCTTGAGCAACTCGAAGATTTCTTTCTTCTCCCACACGCAAAACGCACCTGGAAAAAAATAAGATTTATGTTTCAAATCGCGGTAACAGATGTTTTTGTGTTACAGAGATGCATATACAAATAATTATCGGAAAAGTTTACAGAGTTATATAATAATTTCAATTTATGATTTTAATTAATATACGAGCCTTCTTGTTTGCGTTCAGAATCGTGGTCTGGCAAAGAATCAGCATCTTCGGCAGCATAAAAGCCTCCTTCGGGATGTCCCAAGTCTCGTATACAATATTGCAAAGTTGATTTTGCTACACGGGCGTATTTTTCGTTTCCAGTCGCTACATAGGCCTAAAAAATAAAATATAATTATATATATATATATATATATATATATACAGGAAACCCCCGTATAACACGGTAGATACGTTCCAAAAAAGTAGCGTATTAGGCGAGACAAAAAACTAGTAAAAAGAGGGGTTGCGTTCCAAGAATTCAAAAAAACATGTTACATTTCATGATTTTTTAATAAATACTGTTATATTTATTAATTTTATTAAATACGTAATATACATTACATGAATAATATGATTTAGGTATAATTAACGCAAGATATCCCATTCACTGAGCAGTTTTCTGTAAATATGTATTATTTTTTGCAAAAAAATATAGTTGCGATGTCTCGCTTTTAGCAAAAAGATATTTATATATTTACCACATGCAAAGTTATATTCATTAAAATTTTATGTCCATTTTATTTAAAGGATATTTGTTTAAAACTAATTGACTAATTGCTTGGATAAGCCTAGAATTTTTTTTCGATAGAACGTACGCACTCGAATAATAAATATAAAATTAGTTATGTTTAGCATTAGTTTCAACACATTTATTGAGCTATTGTACGGCGATTTTATTAATTTTATATTAAATAAAGATTAATTTTCATAGGTTTTACAAAATTCTATTTTATTAGGTTTTGCTGAATTCTCAAACCGTGTTAGACCAAAATTTAAAAAATACCGCTTTGAAAGTACCGTGTTATAAGGGAGATTGTCTCAATTCTTAAACTGTGTTAAAGTGCATCCGTGTTTTGCCATAAAAAAATTCTAGTATAAAATGTTCAGTATAAAAATGTAGGAGCGTATCCGTGTTTTGCCATAAAAAAATTCTAGTATAAAATGTTTAGTAGAAAAATAACCAACTGATTGCAAATGTGGTATGAAAGGGGCGTCTAACACAAATTTAATTGATGGTTTTCCCACTGCAAAGCATGCCACATTTAAAAATTATTAAAGCTTTGCGCTTTTTATCAATTCGTTAATTTTTGAATTACGAAGCAAAATCCGATAATTCAATTTTAAATTTCATTGTTATGTGACAAGCCCAGGTTATCAACTGAGATTGAAAAAAATTGAGAGTGGAAAATTTTGCAAATCTCAATTTATAAACTATGTAGGCTGTTTGTGATACGTTCGGAAAATATTTGTACCATGAGAAAATGGAAGAGGTGAACAACCCTTGATAAAAATAAATAGTATTTTGAAAACAAAAATTTTATGTATTTTTCAATACAGCATTTAAAAAAATAAAGATAATTAACCACAAAATTTAAAATTATTCATATTAGGGTTGAACGAACGATAAGATTTAGGCTTTTTCTTTAAAATTTAAACTAAAATTATGTAAAAAACATTCAATGACTGAATACGGAATGAAACAGAATTGAGTTACTAAAATGGCTATAAAAAATAAGGATAGATGATAAAAAAGCAAAAATTTAGGATTGTATGTATTTTCTATTGCGACATTTTAATAAAATAAAAACAGAAAAAAATCGTCCAAAAATTTAAAAAAAAATTAAGGGTAAACAACCCTTACCACTTAGTAGTACAAAAAATAGATAGCCGATTCTCAGACCTACTGAGTACGAATATAAAATTTGGTAAAAATCGGTAAAGCCGTTTTGGAAGAGTACTGAAACATTGTGACATAGAATTTATATATATATATATATATATATATATATATATATATATATGATATAAGTAGTCAAAGTACATACCTGGCAATACGAAATTATAAGTTGAGCTTGGTCGTACAACATTTTCTCAAAATGCGGCACATGCCACCTATCATCAACAGAATACCTACAAATAAAAACAAATTCATTTAATATAAATAATAATTATTATTATTATCTTACTATTTCTATTATTGTTATTTTGTTATATTTTATTATTTTTCTAGTATTATTTCATTATTCAGAAATTTTGTTTATATTATTTATTAATTGTATTTTTATGTGTATTATTTGCTTTTATTTTATATTAAATCATCATACTACGGATATCATTTTAATGTAAATTCTATCCTTGGCATTCTTATTTATTTAAATTTATGTTATTATTTATCATTATTGCTAGATGTTAAATTATTTAACAGTTATAATGAATATTGTAATTAAAAAAATAATAATTTATTACAAATAATCAAATAAATATTATCATTTATTACCTAGCAAAGCCTCCACAGACATGATCATGTATACCGCCATCAGCCATCTTATCCAAAGTCCTCAAAGCCATTTCGAGGCAACTTCGTCCTTCTTCAGAAGTAGGATCTCTGGCATAAGCATGAAATAAAAAATTTAAATTCACCGGTTGAGGAAATTTTGGTGCTGGCCCAAAACCTCCATGGACTGGATCGTGGTTCCGTACAAATTGCTGGACGCAACGATCGAAACATTGGGGGGACGGGATTCGAAGATCCCCTGGTAATAGAAAAAAAATTATATATTATAATTATATATATATATATATATATATGTATAAATTATTATATATATATATAATTATTTTATAAAGGTTTACCATTATCAGTTGCTTCCAGTTTTGTGGCTCTTGTTAGAACTTCTAAGACTTTAGTACCGGTTTCCATTAAATCAGAACTGTTCTTACGCCATTGTTCTCCTGAAAAATTAAGTAAGTAAACTAGTGGTGTATGGCATCGTGCCTTAAGGCAAATTGCTGGAACTTCCCGTACCGTAATGAAATATTCGACAAATTTTAAACGTTTTCATATATATTATTACAAATACTGTAACTTTCATTATTTTTGCTATCTTGTTATATCTGAGCAAATCAAATGTAAATCATAAATCATAAATTAATTTATCTCCAGAACATTAACAATCGTCATTTCATTTCGAGTTCAATTTCAAAAAAAATAGTTGCTCAATTTACACAAAATTGAAAAATTGCTCCCGTATAGTCACAGTCTAAACGCATTTGCAAATAATTCTGTGCGACATTTTCTCTTATACTGTGCTTAGCTTGGCGGCATTTCCACATTTTTCAATATAAACAAACAGTCTAAACGCAATTGGGTAAACATTTATACCAGGGTGGCGCTTAGACTGTGCTTAGCCTGGGTAATTTTTTCATTTTTAATCCAAAATTACAAAAATATTTTATGGAAAATAAAAAAGATGTAATAACTTTTTATCCTCGAAAGCAATTGTTTTGTCAATACAAGCAGAAAGTTTTTTAGATCATTCAAATCGGACGCTTAGTTCACTCAAAAACTGTCATTTTTTGTACATTTAGCTCTGCATCTTCGAAATGGCGGGACATGCCTTTGCCAAAAACTAATCACCTCTTCTCCCAATCAAAACAAGTAAAATGTTTTTTAGATCATTCAAATCGGATACTCCGTTCTCTCAAAAAGTCGATTTCTATTTTCTGCACTCGTTGCTCCGTATCTCCGTAACGGGTGGACCTGTCTTTGCCAAAAAGTAATCAGCACATCTCCCTATCAATAGGAATCGAATGTTTTTTGAACCATTCAAATCGGTTGATGCGTGCGCCCGAAAACGTGGACAAAAAATTGTATCCATACATACATACACACACACACACATTCATTTTTTCTAAGGTATGCCAATATGTTCAGAAACCTCTGAAACGTAAATATATATACAAATTTTCACATTCGATTTTTTTGCGATTACTATAACTTCTCCTTCGGGAAGTTAGAAATAACAAACAAATTAATGTAATACACCTGAGTCTGTTTTTACACGGTAGATTGGTTCCAGAAGAAGCCGTGTAAAAAAAGACATTGATCTTATACAAAAATGGGTGATTTGTTCCTAATCTCTAAAACCTATTAAAATTAGAATTAGAATTAGAAAAATAAGAATTTTCAAGAACAAGAATTAAACTAGTGCTATTCACATTTGCTTTGACCAGTAAAAATTGTTTGTACGCGCTAAAGGGGAATTCACTTAAATCTTTAAGCTAGTGTTCGCAAACTATCGATACTATCGATGGTTTCAGACTTTTTTCTTTCATAAATACTTTTTTGTGATATGAACATACTTCGCAAAAATTAAATTTGACAAAAAAAAATTCAAGTACATAAAATTTCAAAACGTGCTAAATGGAATAAAATCGTGTGAAAAAATTAAAAATATTCAATTTTCAAACCGTGTTATATCAAAACCGTGTACAAAAAGACTGTGTAAAAACAGACTTAGGTGTACTAGTAATACAAAAAATATTTCCACTCCTCACCTAAATTTCTCAGTATCGATTTAAACCCAGGTCGTCCCCATTTATCCTCCGGTGGAAAATAAGTCCCGCCAGTAACAGGATTCAAATCAGGCGTCAAAAACACAGACATCGGCCAACCGCCTCCTCCGGTTGTGGCTTGTATAAAAGTCATATAAATCTTATCAATATCCGGCCTTTCCTCTCTGTCGACTTTAACATTAACAAAATACTCGTTCATTATAGCGGCGACTTCTGGATTTTCAAAACTCTCCTTCTCCATAACGTGACACCAGTGGCAAGTCGAATAACCGACCGAAAGGAATATCAATTTGTTTTCGGCTCTGGCTTTTTCGAAAGCCTCCGGGCCCCAAGGGTACCAGTCTACGGGGTTGTGGGCATGTTGGAGAAGATAGGGTGATTTTTCGAGACTCAAACGATTCATTTGATCTGATTTTGAGCCTGTAACTGGAGATTTTGAGCCCATTTTTCTCAAATTTATTGCATTGGATGATACCACAGCACCAGAATGGTGTTTGGGGAAGAGAGGTGGGGTGGGATTTCTGAAAATAGAAAAAATACAAAAATTGTATATATATATATATATATATATATATATTTATTTATTTATTTATATGAGTGAGTTCTTGAGGGCGATACATCAAACAAAAAAAAGGCAAAGATTTATAAAATAATCTTTAATTCCTAACGTTTCGACATTCAATTTAATGTCATCATCAATGGATATTGAACATGGTATTTTATATCTAGAAATGTGTACACATCACAGAATTTTGCACTAACATTGATACAACTAATGTTTCTGTGATTCTGTGATGTGTACACATTTCTAGATATAAAATACCATGTTCAATATCCACTGATGATGACATTAAATTGAATGTCGAAACGTTTGGAATTAAAGATTATTTTATAAATCTTAGCCTTTTCTTTGTTTGATGTATCGCCCTCAAGAACTCACTCATATATATATATATATATATATATATATATATATATATATGTATATATATATATATATATATATATATATACGAGGTCTGTTCAAAAAGTACCCGGAATTTTCGTTTTTTCAAAAAAATATTTATTTATTCGTCTACATTAATGTGGTCCCCTTCAAAGTAGTCCCCCCCAGATATAATACACTTATGCCAGCGTTTTTTCCAATTTTCGAAGCACCCTTGATATTCACTTTTTGATATGTCCTTGAGCACTCTCAGCGATTCGGCCTTTATTTCTTCAATCGAGGAAAACCGCCGTCCTTTCATGGGTCTCTTCAACTTTGGGAATAGGAAAAAGTCACACGGAGCCATATCTGGTGAATTTTTGCACTTTGCAACACTTTATTTCATTTTTTACGCAAAATTTAATACAAATTCTTTGACTTTTCAATTCTTCCATTGTAAAAATCGCCGAGCTCAGAAAAACACGTCGAACCTTAGCGACTACCACAGACAAAGTAAACAGTGAATATAGCTGAAAATTTCATCATACTTTAGGGGCATGTATGCCAACACAATAAAAAAAAATTTGACAATCAGACACTCCAGACCCGCGAAATTTAATTATTAGTAATTCCGGGTACTTTTTGAACAGACCTCGTATATATATATATATATATATATATATATATATATATATATATCTTGATACTTTTTTCGGCGTTGAAATGACAAACACTCAAAAAAATATTTTTTATAAAAAAATAAACTTGTAACATATTAGCAAAGGACATTTTTTGGAAAAATAATGAATAATTAAAAAATTGTTTGTAAAGTGTTTTTAATTTTTTAGTTATTCATTATTTTTCCATAAAATGTCCTTTGCTAATATGTTACAAGTTTAATTTTTCATAAAAAATATTTTTTTGAGTGTTTGTCCTGCTGGTATGTATAATGTTTCTCCATGTTTATAATTATTTTATAATTGTTATAGTAGTAAAATGTTCAAATTTATTGTAGTTGCTGAATGATGACACGCACCTGGTGTCGAATTGTATAAATAAAAGTTTTTAAATGCTTTTTTACATTTTTATTTCGATGAATGGGCTGCTAGTTACTACTTTGAATTATGTTTCAACGTCGAAAAAACTATATATATATATGTATATATATATATATATATATATATATATATATATGTAGATTTTTTATTCAACGTTGAGACATATTCTTGAAATGTTAATTTGCATCCAAAAGAACAATAAGTAATGTTCTATTTCTTTATACGTTTCGACACGGTATGTGTGTCATCATTCAGCAATTTTTTTAAAATATTTAATAACAGTATCTAAAACAATTTTTATAAAGTGTAAAAAGATTAAATTAAAAAAAATATATTTGAGATTAAAATAAATTAAACAAGTAATTACTTTAAAAAAAATGCTGAATGATGACGCACGTAAATAGATCATTATTGATTTTTCCAGTATTACAATTTTTTTGTAATACGTTTCGACACTCGATGTGTGTCATCAAACGAGGAAAAACACAAAAATTCAACATTCAAACCAAGAAAAACAAAAAAATACAAGAAAATATAAAGCACTAAAGTTTTTCAATGTAAACAAGCATAAATAATAATTAAAACAATATCTATAATCGAGGATATAATTTATAGTATATATTTATTATAAAGAGGACATAATTTAGTGTTTTCATTAAACAATTTAGTGTTTTACATTTTTTTCTGAATTGTTTGTGTTTTTCCTGGTTTGACTGCTGAAATGACGACACACATCAAGTGTCGAAACGTATAATAAGGATTGTTTTTCTATATTAACTTTTTTTAATTAGTCGTATGGGCTGGAAATTATATCAAATATGTTATAAATATATGTATATATGTATATAAATAATTTATATAAGATAAAGATTACTAAGTCCTAAATATTAAAACTAAAAAGAAATTAAAAGAAAAAGAATCGCAAACACAGAAATATGAAAGTAGAAGTGTGAGAAGTAAATTGTGATATACACATATATAAACAGACAAGAGCGAAAAGAGAGTTAATAAAATATAGCCCACATAAATATATTTTTTAAATCATTTTTATATTATTTATTTGTTTAATTACTTATTTTAAGTTGTTTGTTATCATTTAAATGGAATTTTATATACAAAAAGGTTTCAAAGTTATAAACATTTTTCTACAAGAAATTCTACACTGCTTCGGCAAGTGGCAAAATATGTTTCAATGTCAAATATATATATATATATATATATATATATATGTATATATATATATATATGTATATATATATATATATATATATATATATATATATATATATATATACGCTTCATATACAAACTATGCAATATATTTGATTCATCCCATATATAGTTGTTATATAGACGTGCATCGATTGCAATCATTGTTATCAAAAGTTTATCAAAATAACTTATTCTGATCTGATTACTAATTCCATTAGGCCTTCCTAAAAATCCTTTCTGCAAAGTATTAACCCACATACCTACACTATACACACAAGTTTACTTGGTCATAAAACCTAACGATATCATAAAATGTATTAAAACTACTCTACTGAGAAATATATGAAGCAATTATAACTTATTCTTATCTGATTACTCGTTCCATTATGCTTTTATAAAAATCCTGAAAGTATAAACCCACATATCTATGCTCACACAAGTAAATTCGTTTGGTCATAAAACTGTACGACATAAAAAGTATTAAGCCTTTGTACTTAAAAATTTTACATAAAGCCTTCTATTAATCGAAAAGGGAACATGTTTAAATTTCGTTCTAATGATAACATCTCAAATATTGTGATGAACTTATAATATCCTCACGATCCTCACGATATTGTGAGGAATATATAATAATCAATATCAATCGAATAGTGTAAGAGAAGTGAGAAATAAATAATAATCAATATGGAAAGTGCTTCGTTTAATTTAGTGCAAAGGATAAGAGAAACACTAATCGATGCTCCTACTTATATACATATATATATATATATATATATATATATATATATATATATATATATATGAATAATTTATATATAAATGTTGACATAAGGACATGTAAGATAAAATCTCCCAGTGTAGAATTTACAACGCAATTATCAAAACTACACAAACCCATTACAAATAAATTATCCTACTAATAAATAATCAAATTCTAATTACCTAATCAATCCAATTTCTCCTGTTTTATTAAAATTACTATAAAAAACCAAGCAAATGACGTTTGAATTGTAGGTTATGAACGACGATCGAGTGTCTCCAAATGTCAATTTTCTAAATAAATGAAATGCGCGTGCACAATGCATATCAATGCATTGATTTGAATAATTTTCTAGGTATTTCCACTAACAGAAACAACTTTTAGCATCAAGAATAAATTTAATAAAACTTGTTATGGTAAATGATCACTTAATGTTGACATAACATTTGACAGTTTTGACAAAGAGCAATGGCGGACGTTACAGTTTACAGTAACCTAGTTTGGGGCACATGGTCACTTTTTTATGCTGTTTTTTATTGTATTTTCAAGGATTAATTGTGATTGTAAGTGAAAAAAATATTATAAATATGTTAATGTTATGGTAAACTCTGAACTGTTACAGGTTTGTACAAAATAATATAAAATACTCTTAATGCGTATGTAGCGAATTATTAATTTAACAAATTGTCAAAAATTTGATTGTTGAATAAATTAAATAACTTAAATTATTGAAAATCTGAAAAATAACGTTCCATCAGGGAAATTGAAAATAACTATCTGAAAACCTTGCCAAAATATTTTTTGTCGATAAGTAAATACATAACTTATATGTAAATTATAATAATAATATTGAAATATGTTCCCTTAGTACCCATTATTTGAAACTAAGGAATTTTCATAATAGAACAACTCTCTGTAAGCCTATATCTTTTTGGGATGTTTGTTTCAATTCATAATATTTAATATTGAATGTTTGACAAAAAAAAAAGAACTGAATATTCTGAAAAAAAAAAAATCCAATAAAGAAAGAATTGAGTATTTAAAAAGACAGCCTGAAAATAAAGTAAAAGAAAGAACTAATGCGATTTGAGATGTCAACTTCACAAATTTTATTTAAAAATGCATTTACGAGACATAAAATAAGAATCTGAAAATAGAGTTCACTTGACACTAACAAGATACGTATATTTTTTAAACTTATTGCCGAAATAGGTAAATTTACAAATGCCTGTAAGATTTTTTGATAAAGTTTAAAAATATTACAAACATTTTGTGAATTACAAATGCATCTCAAAATAATCACAGTAATTTAACTAAAAATAAAAAGTACACCTGGTGAAAGAAGTATTGCATAAGATTACCATTTGAAATTTGAATAGTAAATTTCAGATTATAGAAACAGAAGTTAAATGTAAACAAAGGCACCCTGAAAAAGTAACAGATTTTTAACGACTCACCCTGGAAAACAAAGCTAAAAAACGATTTGACGATTGTGATTTTATTTAATGTATAAAATATACATTTAAAATGTGTATAGCTTAATCTTCCTCTTCCTCGGCAGCTGCACCACCGCCTGATCCCTTTCTCAAGTTCTTCCTCTTTACACGTCCTAGAAAAAAAGAAAAAAAAACTTCAAACACTTCAAAAATAATTATTAATTAAATATAAAAAAAAACTATAAAGAAATTTAAAAAAGAACTGAATATAAAAAAGAACTATGAAGAAATTTAAAAAAGAACTGAATATAAAAAAGAACTATGAAGAAATTTAAAAAAGAACTGAATATAAAAAAGAAATGTAAAGAAACTTAAACTGAATTTAAAAAAGAAATATAAAGAAATTTAAAAAAGAACTGAATACAAAAAAGAAAGAAATTTAAAAAAGAAATGTAAAGAAATTTAAAAAAGAACTAAATATAAAAAATAAATATAATAAAAATAAATATACAAAATAAATAAAAAAAATTCTTTTAAGTGATAAATTGGATAAAAATTGTACATTTATTAAGATTATTTGAGAATTATCTTATTAATTGTTAGCTTGCATGAATCAACAGAGTTTCTACACAATGTTGGGATTAAGACAAGCTTTTTAATCTCGCCACAATAGATTAAAGACTATACAATAAAATTTAAGTACATCTTTTGCCCAGATATAATGGCTGAAGTATATAAAATAAAGTAAATACAAACCTGGACGTCCACCTCCGAAGGGCGATTTGAGGGAGAAGTCGATGTGTTTTTGTGAATCCAAACGCACAATGAAGGAAGGAATATTAACAACTTGCTTGCGAACACTGGAAAAAAATAGTTAAATAAGCCGACAGGAACATAATTGTATGTTTTTATACAAGGTAGTGTTACGGTTGTAGTAATTTACCTTGCACCTTCTCATAATCATGAGAAATTTCAAGACATTGTCTAATTACAATTAGAACAATTGGTCTTTAAGAACTTGACCTTTACAATCAAGTGAGTCTTACCGAATGTGTCTCTGGCGGATCAAAACACGAGCGTGGTGAATGGATTTGGCTAATCCCAGTTTGAAAACTTGGGTTTGCAGACGACGTTCCAAGAAATCTTCTATTTTCAAACCCAACACGTAATCGAGCTTCATTCTGGATTCATCCAACACTCCAATACGTACCAAACGACGCAATAAAGCATTACCTAGAAGAAAAATACAGTTAACACCGCAAACTTCAATTACAAAACAAACTTATATACTATAATATCGTCAGTATATACGATTCAACAATAACAGTTCTGCCAAGAGGTGTCAGAATATCATAACAATGCTCATCATAGTAAATGATGATAAAACATGAGTCTTTTATTACCTTCGAAGAGACGTTTGCCATCCTTTTCGTCCAACGTGAGCAACTCACGGGCAGCTTTACGGATTTTAGCCAAAGTGTATTTGACACGCCATACTTCCCTCTTGTTACGGAGACCATATTCTCCAATGATTTTTAATTCTTGATCCAAACGAGCCTTTTCATAAGGACGACGAGGGGTTACATATGTCTTCGAAAAGACGGACGGGATGCGTCCGTTCACCATGGTTAAGGATCAAAACCTAGGGGTAAAGGACACATTAATATCATAATTGAGAAATTGTATGGAGCAGCCATTTTGTAAAGTGAGGTTATGTTCTTGACCACGTTAATAAAACATTTTTTTTTGCAAAATTGAATGTTTTCTGCTCATGAATCGGCTCTAACAATATAAATTAGGCCGGGATTATAACAGAATATTAATATCGCCTCGATAGATTAGAGAACACATCTACAAACACGTTGTGACTCTTGCCCAGGTAACGAGGCTTATTAAAAAAGCACAATATTTTACCGAAATTAATATTTACACGTACACTAAACGTTCCTCACTATTTTTAAATGTTTTTTGTATATATTTTAAACTATTTTATCGTATATATATGTATTTTTCACATACCTCTTGTGTCCCAAATGAAATCCGAAGAATAAAGACCGACATGAGGTCTCGTTCGATATATGTAGAAGACGGATGTAGTGTTGCCATGTGCATAAAATGAGAAAAGCGCGTTGGCATTGACAAAAATATGCACTCGTGAGAAATACGTAGTACACATTTTGAAAAATTTGCGTTTTGATATAATTAATATATTTTTTTTATTTATTGAAGTTTGTGATTTAATTTATTTATATATACATATCAATTTATGTATCTTTTCGAATCATTTATTAAAAAAAAATATATATGTATACATTCCCCGACGTTTCGGAACTAGATATGTTTCATCGTCAGGTTTTTTGACAAAAACAATATTGATGGATTATTTGTTGATTACAGAATATTATAAAACTTATAAAAATAAATGGATTTTTATATCATTTCTTCATAAAAATAAAAGAAAAAAAATGTATAAAAAATATTGGTACATAAATCTAAATCATATTTTTATAATAGTAATAATATCACATTAATTTGTTTATTTTACGAGAAATAAAATAAAAAAACTGCTAAAGATTGTAAATGTTTAACTCCAATTTAACTCCTACGACGTTTCGGAACCAGATATGTTTCATCATCAGGTTTTTATGCCTAGAACCATTTTTTTTTAATAAAACCAATATTGATGGATAATTTGTTGATTACAGAGTATTAAAAAAAACTTATAAAAATAAATGGATTTTTATATAAAAATATATATCATAAATAATATAAAATATATATCATTTCTTCATAAAAAGTGTAAAAAAAATGTATAAAGAATTTTAAAGAATCAGGAATTTATTCAGATGTAATATTAAGCCATAAATCTAAATCACAATATTCTTTTTCATAATAATAATATTACATTAATTTGTTAATTTTTCGAGCAATGTCTACATGTGTAATTTCGATTAAATTCCTACGACGTTTCGGAACTAGATATGTTTCATCATCAGGTTTTTCTGCCAAAAACAAGTTTTTTTAACCAAAAACATTGATGGATAATTTAACGATTGCAGAATATTCAAAAATAAAAAAAAAGGAATTGATGTATGTACAATTTTTTTAAAAAGAAAAAAAAATTAAAAATTGTAAAGCAAAACTGTGAATATTTCATTAATTTCATATTATAATATTATTAATTTTAATTTATTTTTATTTTTAATTTACTATAATAATTTAATAATAATTTATACACAATAATAAAAAATATAAACAATTAATAAAAAAAAATAAAAAAAATAAGTTCCTTGTAGATGTTTATCTACGACGTTTCGGAACTAAATGTGTTCCATCATCAGCTTTTTTTCTATATATATTAATTGACTAATAAATTATGCTTCGTTTCCGAGAAATCAATCAACAAAAAATTGATGAATCCTAGATTTTTCAATAAATTGATTTATGACAAAAATTCACCAAAAACTATGTCAACTATAAGTTTTTTTGTAGTTTGTAAATTGCGACGTTTTGGAACTAAATATGCTCCATCATTAGATTTTTTCTCTGTCAAAAACAATTTTATTTAAGATAAGAGCAGTATGATTTTTTTTTAAATTCATGGATTGTGTATTTCTTTTCAATAAATTTATTATTTTCCAGAAATTAAAAAAAAATTAAAAAGTGAAAAACTAAATTGTTTTTGTACAAGTTTGATGATATTTTTGTACATCATACTAAAGTTATAATAGTAATTTTCATATTAATTATTTTGTAAATCAATTTAATTTTGTTTAGGTCTGTTCAAAATATATTAATTGAAAATTGCATTTTTTAGTTTCTTGTGAAAGTAAAAATATATTTTTGAAATAAACAATTATATTTTAAAATTTTTATCTAATTGTAAGGGGTTTGAGAAAGAATCACAAAATATCACTTGCGGGAGGGGGGGTGTATAGTAAAATATCACGTGTATTTATTTTTTACCTGATTTTTTTTTAAAAAAAAAAAACAGACATTTTTAAAAAATAAAAAATAAAAAAATTACGTTTTTTTCTCGTTACTAAAAATACACCTGATGTTTAGAGGGGTGAGGGGGGGTAATTTTGATTATCACCACGTATCACCAAGGGGGCATCTAAAAATCCCTATAAATCGCCCTAAATAGCTAAACTCAATTTTTATTCATGAAGTCAATTATGCACACATATCGGAACGTTCAGGCAACTAGAGTAAAAATACAAAATAAAATACAATATATGTCTTTAAATATTTTATTCGTACAAAAAAACTTAAACTATCCCACTTAAAATTTAAATTAAGTCGTCGTGTTAGATCCATACGTTGGATCCCTGGCCCTCAGCTGCATATTCCTCAACAAACACAAATCCCTGGCCGTAGCACTTCTACCAGCCGGTGTATCAATATCATACAACCTTAGAATCAGAGCAGTCGAAAACATTTCAGGCAAAGCTCTCACTAAAGCCGGCACTAATTGATCAGGCAAAGTCCTCAACAATTCCCTAGATCCTTTGCCCTTCATCGGACTTGTCACCAACTTCCTAAGCAGTTGCATTGCGAAATAAGTCTGTCTGGTTGTGCTGACTTTGTCTGTCGCCAATTTCTCTAGGATTTCGAATAAAGCTTTCAAAGCTGTTATTAAAGGAGATTTTTGAGGCTCTGGGGTTCTTGAACCGTCTCCTAAGGTTTGGGGAAATATTGAGGCATTTAGAGCCAATTCAGCAGCTGTGGTACAAGCACCGTTTACGTTGTCATTTAGGCGTCGACTTTTAGACTCTGATGGAGATTCATCACCAAAAGCATCACTTCTTGAACGTTTCAAGCTGGCTGTGGTTGAATGATCCTGTAATAATAACAAAAACTAGCTGTAAGTGGAATTCTGTCTTAAGGCAATTAAGGCATCGTGCCTTAAGGCAAATTGCTGAAACTTCCCGTACCAAAAATTATTATTTTTTTAAAAACGATTGACATTTAAAAAAAAAAATACTTCAAAAAAATAAGATTTTTGAGAAACTATAAATTAAATAAAAAATTACTTTCTTTAGAATTTTTTTTTTTTTTTTTAAATTTTTTTTGTGAAAAAAAAAATGTTTTCTTTATTTTGACATATTTTGGAAGATCTAAACTTTTTTTCAAAGCAATCGTACTGCTTTAACTGCATAAAGACGAAATATCAAAGCGCGTCAGCGCCGCGTCGCCGTCTAACGCGTAAACATTGGTACGGAACCCATAGGACTGTAAACCAAATTCATATTTATTGTTAAAATCTCTACAAAATATCTGATAATTTGATGTGCATATGTCTAATGATCATTTTTGACCGCCAAATGGCATTTTTTTTTACTTTTTTCATTAGATCTCCGAAACCGTTAGACCTGCCTTCACAAAAATTTGATCAATTCTTCATCTTGTCAATACAAGTAAAATATTGTTTGAATTATTAAAATCGAACGCTCCGTTCTCTTAAAAACTGAGTTACCGTTTTTGGCACTTTTTGCCCCGTATGTTCGGAACGGCTAGACCTGCCTTCGCCAAAAACTAATCAGCACGTCTCCTTATCAATACGAATCGAATGTTTTTTGAATTATTCAAATCGGTTGATCCGTGTTCCCGAAATCGTCGACGAAAATTTGTATCCGCACATACATACATACACACACACACACACACATACATCCATTTTTTCTAAGGTATGTTAAAATGTTCAGAAACCTCTGAAACGTAAAGATATATAAAAATTTTCATTTTCGATTTTTTTGCGATTACTATAACTTGCCCTACGGGAAGTTAAAAAGAGTGCACGTAAGGTTCATACGCGATTGAAGTAAAACTTATTTGCTACTGTTCAAGATGACATTTAAGTAAAAATAAATACATCATGTAACAATTTTAAATAATATTTATTAGCAATATGATAACACTCGTGATGCACACATTTACTAGTGTCGTCAATCATTATACACATTTATATTAGGTTGTCCAATATCTCCCTTCCGCCTTTTTGTATTATAAACCAATAGCAAAAAAGCGGAAGGAAGATATTTGACAACCTAATATAATGATAAATTATAAATTATATATTTATAATAGCATTAAAAATATGTATGATATTTAAAAGCGATAAGGTAATCAAAGTCATACTTCAAATATGACATGATCGGTTTGTCATTGTAATTAGCATTTAGTACTTGAACTTTTATTAGAGAAATAAATTAATTACTATTCATTAAACTCTACAATATTCGTTTTCACAACTTCACTCATCATGTAATAAGTGTGTTTGAAGAACTTCATGTAATTAAAATTAACATACATTCATTGACAGCTTGTAATTTTTTGACTTTTTTCCAGACGATATTGAATTTGCACGTCTTTAAAGTCAAGTCTTTTTTTATATTTACGAATTACAAATTTGGTCATCAGTAAAGTCCGTTTTTAAATATTTTATATTAAAATTTAGTTTGCTTGTCAGTAGAGTTCTTTTTTAGAGACATTTCTTAATCATATTTTGCTCGTTAGTAGAGTCCTTTTCTTTTCCTCTAGGTTGAAGTTAAAATTTGCTTGTCAGTAGAGTTCCTTTTACAAACTTCATGTAATTACAATTAACATACATTCATTGACTGCTTGTAATTTTTTGACTTTTTTCCAGACGATATTGAATTTGCACGTCAGTAGAGTCCTTTTTTTATAACTTTGCTCGTCAGTAGAATCCGCTTTTCAAGTCAATAAATATTAATAATTTTGCTCGACAGTAGAGTCTCTTTATCAAGTAATTTAATGTTAATAATTTTGCTCGTTAGTAGAGTCCCTTTCTTGTCTTTTAGATCAATTTTGTACATCTCTATCAAGTTATTTGATCACTTGTCAGTAGAGTCCCTTTCGTTTTTTTTGTCAATTTTTAGTTTGCTCGAAAGTAAAGTCTTTTTTTATATTTACGAATTTCAAATTTGGTCGTCAGTAAAGTCCGTTTTTAAATATTTTATATTAAAATTTAGTTTGCTTGTCAGTAGAGTTCTTTTTTAGAGACATTTGTTATTCATATTTTGCTCGTTAGTAGAGTCCTTTTCTTTTCCTCTAGACTTGATTAAAGTTAAAATTTGCTTGTCAGTAGAGTCCCTTTTACAAAACATTTTTTGTTAATATTTTTGCTTATCAGTAGAGTCCTTTTTCTTTTACTAAGTTGAAATTAAAGTTTGCTCGTCAGTAGTCCTTTGATCTTTTTTGTCAAATTTTAGTAGTCTTTTTTATATTTGCTAGTTACAAATTTGATCGTCAGTAGAGTCCCTTATGTATTTTCTTATCGATCAAAACTTTGTTGGCTCGTCAGTAGAATCCCTTACCAACTATTAGATAAAATTTATGATCATATTTGAACTATTCGATTTTTTATTTGCTCATCAGTAAAGTCCTTTTTAATCTTTTAGATCAAAACTAAAGTTTCCTCGCCAGTAGAGTCCTTTTTTATATGTTTCCTTTCTATATCTTTTATATCTATACCAGTCAGTTTTCATATTTACTAATTTTAAATTTAGTCATCAGTAGAGTCCCTTTTTATCAACTCGATTGTAATTAAAGTTTGCTTGTCAGTAGAGTCCATTTTTATGTCTGGATTAAAATTATGTTCGCTCGTCAGTAGAGTCCTTTTATATTTTGTGTCGATTGATAATTTTTTGAACAGTTTTAGAATCTGTCTTGTCTATAAAAATATTATCTCTTTTAATATAGAAATAATTTCTAATCAATAAACTTACGTTTAGTACAAATGTATAAATTGTTTCATTATTTTCAAGAAACAGAGTAAAATATTCTTCTGATTCAGGCATTTTTCATTAAATCAAGATTTGTACTACAACAATGTTTATTTATTTATGCCGATTTCCTTGTTGATATCGGTACGCACACGCATACAACGACAGATATCTATTCACATACACAACGACTAATCATAATCGACCCGTATAGAAATGCTATCATCGAAAGCGAATGACTCTCACTTGACCTTGCCGTAACAATTACCGTTGCATTTGTACGGATTTACACCCTAGTTACTTCAAAAATCACATCATGCCTTACAAATATTTATTTACTATCCTTTATTACCTGGGCGCTGAGGCAGGCCAAAACGCATCGAGCTGTAAGGGCTGCTAAAGCTCCAGCTCCTGGTTCGGTTAAAGCTTCTTCAGCCCTTTTCTCGCTGCGTAGGGCTCTGGGTAAGACGTCTTCTAACAAAGCAACTGCACAGGATTCGCTGCTTAGAGAAAATGCTGCAAAAGCTGTGTCTACAGCTCTTATTAAGGAATCGTGGGAACGTTGTTGCTCCAGGACTAACCCGACCAGACTCGTTACGAACCAGGAACTACCTGGTAATAGATATTTGGGTATATGTATATGTGTGTATATATATATATATATATATATATATATATATATATATATATATATATATATGGCGGAATGAATTATGTTTCATGACAAATGTCAGGTGATTGACGCCAATGTGATGACTAAACTACACAGCAAACTTGGAGCTACACTGATGCGTATATATATATATACAAAGTTCCTTCCCGTACTCTTCCGAAAAAGCTCCGATCATGATCAAATTTTATATGCGAATTCACCCTTAAATTTTTTTTGTAATTTTTGGAAGGAATTTTTTGTTTTTATTTTTTCATAAAGTGGCATTAAAAAAAACACACAACCTAAAATTTTTATTTTTTTATCACCAACCCCTATTTTTTTATAGTCATTTTAGTAATTCATTCATTCATTTATTTTTTGATTACGAAATTGACAAAATATATACAACTCTTTTTACTTCAAAATACTATTTATTTTTATCAAGGGTTGTCCACCCCTTACGTTTTTTTTAAATTTTAGTGCCAATTTTTTTATTACGAGTTTACTCATTGAATATTTTTGACAAAATTTTTCTTTAAAATACAATTTGTTGTCCTTAAGGGTTGTCCAATCCTAATACTTTTTTTAATTTTCGTGTCAATTTTTTATATTAAGAAAATGCATACAACTCTTTTTACTTCGAAATACTATTTATTTTTCTTTTAGTTCAAATTTGACCTTTATTTGACATAATTTGAGTTAAGATATTTTTGAGTAAATGAAAATAGTTAAATGTTACGTTTTTTAAAAGAATTTTGTTTTATTAAGGGTTGTCTAATCCTAATATTTTTATTAATTTTGGTGTCAACTTTTTTTATTTCAATGTTTTTAATGCGGAATTAACAAAATATATTTACAACTCTTTTTACTTCAAAATACTACTCTTTACTTCGAAAAACTATTTATTTTTATAAAGGGTTGTACACCCCGATTTTTTAAATTTTGTAAACAATTTTCTTTTAGTTTCAATTTGACCTTTATTTGACATAATTTTAGTTGAAATTTTTTTGAGTATATAAAAATGACTAAATGTTACCTTTTTTCAAAAAAATATGTTTATTAAGGGTTGTCCAACCCTTACACATTTTGTCTTTTTTTTTTATTGTAATTTTTTCAATGCGTAATTAAAAAATACATTTAATTATTTTTACTTCAAAACACTATTTATTTTTCTTATGGGTTGTCACCCCTAACATTTTTTTAAAAATTTTATGACCTATTATAAGTTTATGCAATACATTTGCAATCTGTTATTTTCGTACTAAACATTTTATACTAGTACGATAACGTTTGCCGGGTCAGCTAGTATATATATACTAGCTGACCAGGCAAACGTTGTATATATATATACTAGCTGACCCGGCAAACGTTGTTTTACCATAAAAAATATTTCTAGTATAAAATGTTAAACGTTAAATATATATATATATATATATATATATATATATATCTTGATGATTTTTTGTTCGACGTTGAAACATATTGAAATGAATAAAACAGCCAATGCGTCGAATGTAAACAATTTAATTTATTTTTTATACGTTTCGAGACTAGATGTGTCTCATCATTCAGCTAAAAGAAATTTACAATATAAAGAAAAGGTTTCAAAAAAATGAATTTATACAATGGAAAAATTAATTGAAAAAACAACAAATTATACACACCAGATCAGGAAAAACCCACTTTACTAAAACATTTTACAACACCACAATCACATGACACTACTGTAGGAAAACAAAAATAATTTACGAAAAGACCGAAAAAGGTAGATGTAAAAATGTATAAAATACATAATTATTTGTTTTCAAAGCATAGCAACACGAATGGACTAAGAATGCGTCGAGAGACGTGTAGACGGCTATGCGACCAACACGCGTGCATGTGGGAAGGGATATCAGGGGTGTAGTATGGCGTCAGATTTACAGAAATTAATTATATTTTGATAACTTTCTGAGAGTAAGCTAGAAGAACTGCGTTTGTTAACACAATTAGAATGTAAAAAGATGAAACATGATTCGGAAAATCTTCTAAGGTCTACATTTTTTTCTTTATATAAAATTATAGGATGGTCAGTATTAAACGAATGTTTGAAATTAATAATGTGCTCAGAAAACATTGTTTTAAATTGTCTAGGGTTTTTTGAATTATAAATAATTATGTATTACTTTGTAATAATTATGTATTACAAATAATTATGTATTTTATACATTTTTACATCTACCTTTTTCGGTCTTTTCGTAAATTATTTTTGTTTTCCTACAGTAGTGTCATGTGATTGTGGTGTTGTAAAATGTTTTAGTAAAGTGGGTTTTTCCTGATCTGGTGTGTATAATTTGTTGTTTTTTCAATTAATTTTTCCATTGTATAAATTCATTTTTTTGAAACCTTTTCTTTATATTGTAAATTTCTTTTAGCTGAATGATGAGACACATCTAGTCTCGAAACGTATAAAAAATAAATTAAATTGTTTACATTCGACGCATTGGCTGTTTTATTCATTTCAATATATATATATATATATATATATTTTGTAGAGTTTCGAACAAGAATCCAAAAATAATACAAAATAAAAAACAAGAAAAGTTTTTAAAAAAAAACAATTTCTTTATTTAATTATTTGTTTATTGTCGACGTTTCGGAACTAGGTACGTTCCATCTTCAGGACATCTGTCAAGAAACATGATCTTGATGAGATTTTTGCAAACAATATGTTTAGGAAAAGAAAATAGATTTTTCTTAAATAATGAATTAAATTGTAAAAAATATAATAATGTACAGAAATATGATAATATGTTCAAAATAAAAATGATAAAAATAAATGAGTGGATTATCAAAACAGGATATTAAACATAATAGAAATTTTTTTTGAAAGTTATGGAAATTTTTTAAGAAAAGGTTAATGACAAAGTTGAATTAATTACCTGTATGTTTGAATATTTGTTAGCACTTTTTCACTAAACAAGCTTTTTTAACAAAAATGACTTTGTGAGTTAATTTTCCACCGAATAATTAGATTTTGTAAATCAAAATTACTAAAAAACTTTGTCTTTTTTAAAATTATTATTTGAAAACACAAATAATATTGTTCTCTGGATGTTGTTCGATTGGTTTACGAAAATTAACTAAATGAAACTGGTGTGCCCTTTGTAACACGTGTAAACACTTGAACGAGAGATGTGAGATTGTATGTGTGTGTTTTTATATGTCAGGGTGTGAATACTTAAATTGTTGATCTTAAAAGGAAGTCGATATTAATTGTTTGTCAAAAAGTGTAAAAAATTTAAATATGAATCATGTAATAGGTTGTGATCTGATCTAATGTTGACACTGTTAGAAACGTTTATGAGGATGAGACAACTCTCCGCGAATAACCTTCTAAAGATGCAACTTTCGTGATATAAAATCTTTGGAGTGAAATTAAATGAATGGGCGTTTTCTATAGAGTGTTGTACTAGGGTACTTTTGAAATTTTTTTGTTTATGGTGGACCACACTTAGTTCATGTTGTCTCATTCTCTTGTGTACATATTGGGAGGTTTGTCCAATATATTGAAAAGCACAGTCATTACAAGAAACAGAATATATATATATATATAAATATGTTGTATATTTCTTACCTCCGGTGTTTAAGAGACTTTCTAGTGTCAGGGTAGCTTCGACATTTAACCATCCGCGATTTTGAACATCAGCCCACACTGTTTGCAATTGTTCATAAATTGGTTTCGGAGATACTATGCTATGTGATACATTAAGTACCTAAAAGTAGAACCAATTGATCAATGCACCAATTTATTAAATTGAGAATTATGATCTGTTTCATTCTCTTACCTTAGACTTGGATAAAGTCGTCGGATGCACATCATACTGCATCTTCCTAACAATCTGAAACATAAGTCCAGATCGTTCCTTAAAATGCTCTCCTCCACTTTGCAGGATGCTGCTCGATCCACCATTCGATTCGTCACCGCTTGCTGATGAATTTGCAGCATCTGTTCCCGGGTTGACTGCAACCGGGTTCAGCAACTGTTGAACCATGTTCATTGGTTTGAGGAGGGCGTCCTGGTGGGCTACCCTCATATGGGCGCAGAGCCAAGCCGCAGCACAAGCTGCCAAAGAACAAGCCTTCGATCGGAGGGCGTCTAGGATTCTTTTAACGTCTGCAGGGGATAGAGAACCTTGCTCCCAGGCCCTTAACACCTTGGGGAAAAATAAAACATGGACGGGGTGAAATGAGATAATGGTCAAAGATATATGGTGGTTATAAATATAATAGTATTAGATCAAATATCGTGCTGGACGCGAATGGAGAAGACTAAGTGGTCAGAAAAGATTACAAATTAAGGAGTGCAGGAAATAAAAGGAAAGGAAATTGGATCAGGCCCATACTACAAAAAGGGCGCACAGGGTAAATTAGAAGTACTGAAAGGGCTGGGAATAAAAATGCGGATGGGGCAACTGACACGAGAGGAGAAAATACAGAGAAGTAACAAACTGAAGGAGCAGATGGCACGGAGGCAGATGTTTGGAAATGTAAGTAATAACAATATTTATAAACTAGTGGTGTATGGCTTTGTCCCTTAAGGCAAATTGCTGGAACTTCCCGTACCGTAATGAAATATTCGAGAAATTTTAAACGTTTTCATATATATATTATTACAATTACTGCAACTTTTATTATCTTTGCTATCTTGTTATATATGAGCAAATCAAATGTAAATCATAAATAAATCAATTTATCTCCAGAACATTAACAATCGTCATTTCATTTCGAATTCAATAACAAAAAAAATAGTTGCCTAATTTACAAAAAAATTAAAAAATGCTCCCGAATAGTCACAGTCTAAACGCATTTGCAAATAATTCTGTGCGACATTTTCACATTTTTCAATAGTTCTCACAAAATTGGAAAAGTGCTCACACATAAACAGTCTAAACGCACTCGGGTAAACAATTGTACCAGAGTGGCGCTTAGACTGTGCTTAGCCTGGGTAACTTTTTGAATTTTTAATCCAAAAAATTACAAAAATATTTTATGAAAAATAATGAAAAATGTAATAAATTTTTAACCTCAAAAGCAATTGTTTTGTCAATACAAGCAAAAAGTTTTCTAGATCATTCAAATCGGACGCATAGTTCACTCAAAAACTACCATTTTTTGCACATTTAGCTCTGTATCTTCGAAATGGCAGGACCTGTCTTTGCCAAAAACTAATCACCGCTTTTCCCAAACATTACAAATTGAATGTTTCTTAGATCATTCATATTCGATACTCCGTTCTCTCAAAAACTCGATTTCTATTTTCTGCACTTTTTACTCCGTATCACCGTAACGGCTGGACCTGCCTTTGCCAAAAACTAATCAGCACATCTCCCTATCAACAGGAATCGAATGTTTTTTGAATCATTCAAATCGGTTGATCCGTGCGCCCGAAAACGTGGACGAAAAAATGCGGACATACAAAACACTCGCACGCACATCTATTTTTTCTGAGGTATGCCAGTAAAATGTTCAGAAACCTTCAAAACGTCGAGAAATGCAAAAATTTTCATTTTCGATTTTCGTCCCATACGGGAAGTTAACTAATTATTGCATAAGTGTCTAATTGAATTCAAATTAAATGTTTCTTAGATCATTCAAATCGGATACTCCGTTTTCTCAAAAACTCGATTTCTATTTTCTGCACTCTTTGCTCCGTATCACCGTAACGGCTGGACCTGCCTTTGCCAAAAACTAATCAGCACATCTCCCTATCAATAGGAATCGAATAAGAATTGAATCATTCAAATCGGTTGATCCGTGCGCCCGGAAACGTGGACGAAAAAATGCGGACATACACACACACACAAACATCTGTGTTTGTGAGGTATGCCAAAATGTTCAGAAACCTTTAAAACGTCGAGAAATGCAAAAATTTTCATTTTCGATTTTCGACTAATTATTGCATAAGTTTCTATTATCCTTACCTCCTGCACAACTGCTCCAATATGCATACAGGCTTTCGACCAACTGATTTGTGAATTTTTAAAATCGCTCTCGCCTGAATTGAACTGCACCAGTAAAGTCTCTACGGTTGCATGATCGCAACGTGCAACCATTCTATCAGGAGATTTCGGTTTAAACCTGTCAATATACCATAATTTAATAAACAATTGTATAAAAAAATTGTTTATCTTTTACCTTTCCACCATGCAAGTTCTGACCCACTCTTCAAAAAACGAGTCACCGTTGATGTCCAGAACGTTTTCAGAACCGTATGTCTGCACAATGGAGCACAACATGAGAAATGAGACATCGAATAAAAGCATTTTGGTTTGGGCATTCTTTCCGACTTCATCGCATAATTCTTTGGAGCTTTCGTTACATTTTATAAGCTCTGATACGAATTGTTTTAAAGTTCCTTGTACCGTAGCGACTGCCAGGATAAGCTCAAAGCTTTTACCAGTCAAAACCTACAAAAAAATTAAAGTGATTGTGTTACAAATCTTATATATAAAAATGGATCGCAAAATGTGTTGGTATGCGCATAACTCAACAACGCCTGAACAAATTTGGCCAATTTTTTTTAAAATGTTCGTTGAAGTCCAAGGATGGTTACGGCGAGAGAAAATTGAATAATTTACAAACCCTAAAAACAGATCTTTTTTTTCACATACAAACGTATTTTCACTAAATTGTAAAATCAATTTGAGCTTTATTGCTATTATACAAAGTTCATATTAAATTACAAGAACTTTCTGTATACTCCTTCTAAACGATTATTCGGATTTTGATAAATCTTTCTGAAGTTTGTTAAGGAAATTTTCTGGGATGTATGTGATTATAAAGTACTGGGATGTATGTGCAATATTGTAGAAATAAAAGGAAAAAGTTGTAAAAAACAACATGTTATTGTTTGCATTGAAAACAAATGAAAACTATCATCTGCCAAAAATTTCAATTTACTTATGAACCTAGACAATATTAGAATATGTATAATAAATTTATGATTATGAATAAGAAAAATGAAATGTCTACATTATTATTGTCGAAAGGCAGCTGAGATGTGCCTGAAATTAAAATAATATAAGATACAGTATATGTATGGCAGACTGAATGATACACATATGAACAGGATATGACAAATTAATTCACTTGAAATATGAAATTAAATATTAATCAAAAAATTAATCAAAAATACGAGCGCACGCCTTAGGGGGCGCCAACACAAGTTTCGGATATTAAATTTTCAATATAGTTTTTTTTCAATATATACTTTCTTTGCATCTTTTACTAATCTTTCCACAATATTTTTAAAATTCGTAAAAAATTTACTTTATAACAACAAATAAGAAAGTAAAGATAAATACATACAATTCGACCCTCACGATATCGATTAGGAAAAGTTTAAGATGCAATTTTGGATATTTTAAATAATATAAAATTAAATTAATTTAATCCAACATGAAGTACCAGTGTTATGTAATGGTTATGGTTATGTTATAACGTTTAAAAGACTTCAATTTCCAATATAGTGTGGGAATTGAGACTCATCATTTTATTTAAAGCAGTTCTACATTTAACATAATTCATATTATAAATATTTATGCATTTTTGCGTGAAGAGTAATTTAAAAAACAATAATTATTATTTTTAGGTAAACGGCAAATATTAGTATACTATATTAAAAAATTGTAGACATGGGTACAGGACAACACGTCTGTTGGGTCATCTAGTTATTATATAAATGTGTCAACCTATATATTTACCTGACAAAGCATGCACAAAAGAGCATCCGCCAAAGTATCACAACCAACACTCAAAGTCTTCAAAATCCCTGCAAGCGTTGGTTCAGCTCTGGTGATCATTGTAGGTATCGACAAAGTTTTGGAAGTATCTAACTTGATTAAAATCTCAGACCTGGGTGCTCTCATAGCCGCAAAAGTCTTCACATGACTCTCGTTTACTAATCTATGCTTCAACATACCACCGAGTACGTACTCAATAATATTGCACGATGATTTTGTGTCCATTAAATCTAGTAAAGACGTGTATTGTAGGAGTAACTCGAAAGCACTAACCACGTCTTGGGAGTAGTCTTTTTTGTCTTTGTATGGATTGTTTAGGCGTTCTATTATTTCAGGGACTTTTAGGAATGTAAAAGCACCCCACATGGATTCTCTAGCTGCATCGTTTACATCATGAAGTGATATCAAACAAGCCCGTATTAGTTCACAGTATAATCGAGGATTGCTGTAGCCTTTGAAACTTTGTATCATTAATAATTGGTTTACATAAGTTTGTGTGTCGGCACAAGGGTTCACAACAACGTCTACAGTTAGCAAGGCTTGTATACAATACGTAACAGGTTCATCAGGCTCGATTAATTTACTTACAGCATCCAAGTTGCAAAGTTTTTGCAAAGAGTCTTGTATACTTCGATCTAATTCAGCTAAAGTGATCATTGAGTTGATTTCATTGCATTTTTTAATGATTTTTAAATGCAAGTCTTCATCATCGTGTTTTGCTAAGTACATTAAAGCCATTATAAAGTCGCATGATACAAAAGCTTCTAGGATTTTTGTGGGTTTATCCAAAAGTTCAGGAAACTCAATTTTGGTTTGTGTACTGTCTTGGGACGTTGGTATAACAAACGAACACAGCGTGTAATGATATATTTGTAACAACCAGTGCACAATTGATAAAATAGCTGAAGCCAACAAATCCTCTTCAGCTTTGTTTCTACATGTTATACCTGGTTGTATAGTTTCTAAGAACTCTAACAAACTAATCAAGCAATGAGGCTTTTCAAACTCATCGAACTTTGATATCTTTATCAAAACAGCAGCGTATGACACCATTTGGCAACTTAAAGTGTGGTGCAAGTATGATAGCACCAATTGGTTAGCACCTGCCCCGATAACAGCATGTTGTAACATACAATCAGCCAAATTGTAAACGTCTCCACTTACACCTCGAGGAAGTATTGTTTTTATATTTATGCCCCATTGTAGATCAGTCCAACGATCTTTCCAAGCTCGAAGTAAAAGAGCTTTTAGGGAACTAGTTTTGCTTGTGGTTTTAGAGTTCTCCAAAGTCATAATAAATAGTTAATAAAACTAACCTATAAAATAATTATTTACCAGTAGTAGAATGTATCCAGCTTGTACATTTATTAGTATTTCGTCGCTGCCACCATTATTTTAATGAATATAAATAGAAACTTTTATTATTGCACTCAATTGTTCATTTAGATTTAATTTATTATCAATATTTTCACTTAGTTGTTTGACATTTAGATTTTTAGGTTAAGTTGTGTTTACAGTTCAGTGGTGTAGCCGAGGACTAAATAGTAATTCAAATTAGAAAAAAAGAACTAAAAAAAAAAATATTATAAATATATATAATAATTTTAAAGTTTATTTATTATAATAATGAATAAAAATGTATAATATCTTATAATAATATAAATATAAATGCAAGAATAAACAAATTGCAAATGATAAGTGAAGTTGTATACAGATGTATATTCAAATTTGAATTTGAATTATTGTTAAAAGTGAATTTAATTATTATAATGATTTTAACAAAATAGGGTTTGTGATAAGAAGGTATAAATTTAGGGTAATATGTGTGTTTCAATAACGTAATATAAAAAAATAAAATAAAAATAATTTGGCCAAAATTTAAAAAAAATCTTAGATGTGACAAATTTTTATTACTTGATTTTAATAAAAATTTGATACAATAAATTTAAAACTCTAGTATAATTTACTATTAATTAGATATAATCTTATTGTAAGAATAGATTTTATTACTATAATGATTTGATTTGATTATTGATTATTAAAATTGATATTGTCAGTAAAAAACACGTGGTTAAATGTCAAACATTTGGTGTTTGACAGTTAGAGGTCAGATGACTTTGACAGCTGTCAAAATTTGATAAAAATAATAAAATTTAAAAATAACCGCTGAAAAATATTTTATATAAATATAATTATTATATGATTAATTATTAATATTTTTAATATAACAAAAAACAAACAGTATATAACCAATATACTGTTATACTAATTTTAAATATATTAGAGCTTTAGATAAATTAAGAAACTGTTATCATTTTTTTCTTTTATCAAATAATTTATTTACTTCATTACTTGTGCATGATTTTTATGTATTTCTTTAAATTGATATTATCAATAAAAAACACGTGGATGTTAAATGTCAAAGCTGTGAAAATTTGACAAATTTGATAAAATTTAAAAATAACCGTTAATGAGGCAAAGAGAATTATCAAAAATATATTATATAAATATAGTTATTAATTTTATTTTTTATATATACAGTTTGTAAGATATTTTTAATATAACAAAAACGTCCCAAGTATTAATTTTTGTAAATAATAATAATTCTTTTAGATTTGGTTTTTGCGATTCATAATAATATTGTATAGTTTTATACATTAACTTAAAATATTACTAAGTCATAAGTGATATTTGTATCTTAAAATAAATATAAGGGACATTTGCTGTTTATTTATATCTATTTATTTTTAAATCATAAATATTTTTTTAATTATAATTTCATACTCATTTATATTTATACAACATTTTGTAGATTATATTACTATTTTATTTGAGTTATTCAAATCAAGGTCCTAAATTTGAAACTTACAGAATTGAACATTTTGCCTAATAACTTATTTTGACTTATAACAAATCATCTTGCAGTTTGATTGTATTAGTAAAATATGGTCAAAAAATATAATTAATGTAAACTATATTATAATTAACAAAAGAGGTTTAAGATTTTATTAACTTTCCGTAGGTTAAGTTATTTTAATCGTCCAAAAATTGAAATTGATTTTTTTTGCATTTTTTTACGTTTTGAAGGTGTTTGAATATTTTGGCATTCTTCAGAAAAAATTGATGTGTCTGTGTGTGTATGTATGTATGGATACATTTTTTTATATCACTTATATAACACCTACTTGCACACTTACAATAAATTAGAAAATTTCTGGATTCTCTAGAAATTGTTTACAAATACATTATATGATAAAAGAACGTTGGCCGGGTCAGCTAGTATAAAATAGTAACCATAGAGAAAAAAGGTGTAAAAATTTGAAAAACCATTTTATTGTTTGACATTCTACAATGATTTTTACAAAATTGGAGTTTGTGGTAAAAGTGTGAATATTTAGGGTATCTTTTACCAATTTTTTATATTTTTTTATCAAGATTGCACCCCTGGACCTCCATTTCCATTTTGTTTGCAGCCTCGTACTAGTTTCAAGCACGACACAGTCATATGTTCAGGGCTTGCGTCAAGTCGTGTATTTATGTGTGCGTTGTTTCAGTAGCTTTTGCTATCTTATTTAAATAGTTAAATAAAAATTTTATATTACAATTTGCTTGTTACATTGTTAGCTAAAATTGTTGGAAAACCAAAAATCAAATCTCCACTCGTGAATCGAAATAAACGGATTTTTGTAAAGGATTGTCCTGAGTGTATAAACAAAGACTGAGTACAAAAGTTGTAAAATATTTGTTAAAAACTTTTAAGTGTTTTTTTTTGGAGTTTTATAAATTGAGTTGTATTTTTGTAAAGTACTGCCCGACGATGTGTGGGGCAGTTTTTTAGCATTTGCTAACGGATTTCATATTTTTGGTAAGTCCCAAAATTTATTCATTTAACAATTTCTTTATATAAACTTTTATATAAATTTCTTTCACAACTTTTGTATACCATAGTGTTTTATTTTTATACATTATTAATTTCTGTATCATGTGCGCATGTAAAGGGAATGCGGACAGAAATTTTGACATATGCTAAAATCGATTTTCTTGTTTCTATGCGGAATTGTAAAAGATTTTAGGAAATTTTGTCCCCGCATTGTTGATAAATACAATAATACTCCAAGCGCGTATTACTCTGTTTGTTTTATTAATTAGTTTATATTTATACATATGTTTTTAGACAGAAGAGTTCAAGGACTTTTATACCTGTTTATAATAATTTATTCCTGTATAATTTTATCATTTTTACGTATTTGTTTATATAGAATTTGTTATTAATTCCCACGTGGTGGAAAATGTTAAAAATTTGGTTTGACAGTTGACGGACAGCTGATTTTGACAGCTGTCAAAATTTGATACTGAAAATTTGGTAACGGAAATATAATTATTAATTTATTGCAAAACGTTTTTAATTAAAACAATGACTGTATTAATTAATTTTATAATTTATTTGTATTTGTTTAAATCGATATTGTTAATAAAATTAGAAAATGTTAATAATTGTTAGTAAACGTCAAAAATTTGGTGTTTGACAGTTGACGGTCAGCTGATTTTGACAGCTGTCAAAATTTAATGGATTTGATAAAATTTAAGAAAAACCGTTAATAAGACAATATAATTATTAATTTGATGAAATAAAAATAAAAATATATTTCACAACATAATTATTGTTTTTAAATTTTTTTTGCATATATTTTCAATAACCAGTATATGCAACCCTGAGTTTCCACTAATTTTATTCAAAATTTTAATATGCAAGTGTATATAACTAGTTGTTCTATAATTTAGTAAATTTTATCTAGTTTTTAGTAACGGAAATAAATTAAAATGCATAGAACAAATTTTTTTACTAATTTGAAAAAATCTAGAAAAAACCCCGCGTTCAGGCTAATTTTATGTAAAATTTTATTATGCAAGTATATTCAACTAAATGTACTATATTTAAGTAAATTTTATCTAGTTTTTGGTATATAAATAAAAGTGCATAGAACAAAATGTTTAAGTAATTTGAAAAAATCCAGAAAAATGTCGCCAATCTATATATGGTACTTCCAATCAGAATCTTATATGACCTTGAGTTTCGACTAATTTTATTCAAAATTTCAATATGCAAGTATATTTAACTAGTCGTACTACGTTTTAATAAATTTCATCTAGCTTTTAATAAATAAAAATGGCTAGAAAAAAGTTTTCTAGTAATTTAAAAAAATCTAGAAAAATGTACCGAATTCATGTATTTCCAATCAGAATTTTATATAATCCCTAGTTCCGACGAATTTTATTAAAAATTTTAATATGCAAGTGTATATAACTAGTTGTACTATATTTTAGTAAATTTTATCTAGTTTAGTAATGCATATACACTGAAATATCTAGAACAAAAAAATGTCGCAAATCCATATATTTCCAATCAGAATCTTATATAACCCTGCGTTCCGACTAATTTTATTGAAAATTTCAATATGCAAGTATACATAACAATTTATGTTAAATTCAAGAAAATTTTATCTAGTTTTCAATAAGTTTTCAATAAAGTAAAACGTCTGAAATTATTTCAAAAATTCCAAAAGAATGTCCCAAATCCATGTATTTTCAATCAGCAGTATATACAACATCCGCGTTTCCACTTATTTCATTAAAAATTTTAATATGCAAGTATATACAACTAGTTGTACCATATTTAAGTAAATTTTATCTAGTTTTTACTGATGTAAATAAATTAAAACGCCTAATTTTTTACTTATTTGAAAAAATCCAGGAAAATGTCCCAAATCCATATCAGCAGAATAAACAACATCCGTGTTGCGACTGATTTTATTCAAAATATCAATATGCAGTATATACAACTAGTTTTACTATATTTAAGTAAATTTTATCTAGTTTTTATTGATGCAAATAAATTAAAATACCTAAAACAAAATTTTTTTCTCATTTGAAAAAATCCAGAAAAATCCATTAAAGTATTGAATGTGAACCCAAGAAATAAAACAATAAAGCCACAAAGTGATAAAAGGCGAAAAGCGACAGACTGAATCATTTAATCACAATCAAGAGTGATAAGGAAATAATTCTTATCATTTCTATTATTAAAATGTATTAAATGATATCTTGAAGTTTGGTCGTAAAGAGACACGTGCTATCATAATGTATAAGAATGCAAATATAAAGCTCTGATATAAATAATACATGTACGAAAACAACATATGAAAATCGAGATAGGAATTAATCATATGAGACAAGGATGAGTAATTTAATGAAACGTCATTCTGTCTGGTTTAGAAACTTCTGAGCAACTTGATATTAAGCAGTACTTATACCTGAAATATACATAACAATAGGTGTCTAATTATTCCTGATTTTTCATATCAAATATCATAAATTTATTTACCCATTATTCTATTATAAGTTCGTTGCCCTATTCAAGAGTATTATATAACACAAAGCCAGCTTCAAATATTTACTTTTCAACTATTCTCATTTTTATAAACAATTAATTCTTATCATTCAAACAATGTGAATAATAAATAAAAATAATTCTCTGCTCTATCTGCTGTCAATAGAAGATTGCATGTCAAAACAATACGTATTGTAAAATATATATTGTATATATATATATATATATATATATATATATATATATATATAAATGTGTGTTATAAATAAATAAAAATTAAAAGTACTTCGAACTTTGAATAAGCAAAGTACAGTATTGATAAACGCACAGAAATAGTGTTGCATTTTGATAAATTGTTTTAAATTACTAGTATTGATATTATAAAGATACTTTGTTTGCATTAGTAAAAACTAGATGAAATTTACTGAAATTTATTGCAATTAGTTATATATGCTTGCGTATTGAAATTTTGAATTAAATTAGTCGAAACTCGGAGTTACATATTGTGCTGATTGAAAATATGTGGATTCGGGACATTTTTCTGGATTTTTTGAAATAACCAGATAATTTTTTTCTAGGGACTTTGATATATTTGTATTAGTAAAAACTTACAAAAATCTGGTATAATTAGTTATATATACTTGCATATTGAAATGTTGAATAAAATTTGTCTGAACGCAAATGTTGTATATTCTGCTTATTGAAAATATATGGATTTGGGACATTTTTCTGGATTTTTTTTCTTATAACTCGAAAATTTTGTTCTAGGAACTTTGATATATTTACATTACTGAAAACTAGATAAAATTTACTAAAATGTAGTAGAATTAGTTGAATATACTTGCATATTGAAAGTTTGAATAAAATTTGTCAGAACGCCGGATTGCATAAGGCTGATTGGAAATATTAGGTTGTCAAATATCTCCCTTCCGCTTTTTATATATATATATATATATATATATATATATATATACGTATATATATAAAAGCGGAAGGGAGATATTTGACAACCTAATATATAGATTTGGGACATTTTTCTGGATTTTTTCAAATAACTTGATAAAATTTATTAAATTATAATATATTTTGTTATATATACTTGCATATTGAAATTTTTAATAAAATTAGTCGAAACATGGAGTTATATATTTTCCTAATTGGAAATATATGGATTCGGGACATTTTTCTAGCATTTTTGCAAACAACTAGAAATTTTTTTTCTGTGCAATATAATTTAATTACATCTATTAAATCTAGATGATATTTACTAAAATATACTATTATTAGTTATATATATATACTTGCATATTAAAATTTTGCATAAAATTCACCAGAACGCGGAGTTATGATTTTAATGAAAAATATATGGTCCTAAGGCATTTTTCTAGGCTTTTTCAATAAATAACTGGAATATTTTGTTCTAGACACTTTAATTTAATTACATAACTGACAACTAGATAAAATTGATTAACATATAATATAACTAGTTGAATATACTTGCATATTAAAATTTTAAATAAAATTCATCAGAACGCAAAGGTTGTATATTCTGCTTATTGGAAAAATATATGAATTCGGGACATTTTTCCAGATTTTTTTTCAAATAATTAGCAAATTTTGTTCTAAACACTTTAATTTATTTACTTCACTAAAAACTAAATGAAATTTAGTAAAATATAATACCACTAGTTATATATACTTGCATATTAAAATTTTGAATAAATTTAGTCGAAACTCGAGGTTGCATATTCTACTGCCTAGAAAAATATGGATTCAGGGCGTAAAAATATTTTTAGGAATTTTAGCCGGCAACATTAGGCTCTTTAATATACTTTACTATATATATATATATATATATATATATATATATATATATATATATATATAATCGTGTCTGGTTTTGGCACAAGTCCAGCATTCCGCCGCCCTTGACCTACGTCACGTAAACTTCAAAGCAGCCCCCCCTTAAAGGGATGGGTTAGTCACTGATACAGAAGGGTGCTAGACAAAGTCAGGGTGCTTTTGTGGATCGATATCACCCCCAAATGAGCACCTAGATGCCGCCGATTCTATTAGAACAAACAAACACGTGGCTTAGAGAAAATCCGGGCCTAGAACAAAATTAATAATGATGATAATGGTATCATTTTGGTATTTTTTTTACGAGTATAAATTGAATATTTTGTGATATTTTAAGATGGGATACGATGGTGAATTTATGCTAGTTTTGATTCGTAAACAAACATTTTTAAATAATTTTGATTTGAAAAAGTTATTTTAAAAAAAACTGCAGAAAGTCCAGAAATTTTTATTCACCTAATGTTTATACTATTTGATTTCCCTCGTTGATTTTTAGTTTACATAAAAGTGATTCCTGCGACTTGCCAAAAGGCTCTAGTAATTTTTTTCGACTAATCTATATCAATAGCTATTTGTAGAATTAATGTACGGTCTCTTTCTATTTCGTAAATAATCTC